GTTTCATTTTTGAATAAAGTTACACAACATAGTTCTTATTATTTTTTTACTTTATAGTTTATTCAAGAGCTGCTCAATGAATCTGTTGATTGTAATTACGGTATAGGTAGATGTCAGAAATGATAACAGATTTCAGGAACACTTGAACAATTTTTCACATAACATTTCATGAAGATTAAAAACTAATTCAAGATTAACCAAGAATCCTATTCATTCAGAAATGACCCTGTTCATTCAACAGATTTCAGGAAGATTTCATCAATTTTTCACTTAACATTTCATGAAGACTAAAAATTAATTCAAGATTAACCTGTAATTATACAAGATTAACATTGCAATGCATTCATACTCTACAAGATTAATTCAAGACAAAATTAACATTGCATGAATTAATTATACAAAATTAATTCAACAAATTCAACCAGGACAACCTTGAAGCAATGTATAAATGCATTCAAGATTAATATTGCATGACCAAACTCATGACAAATGTGTATTTCAAGCAAAACCCTAACCCTAATTGTAACCCTAACCCTAACCCTAACCCTAATTGCAAGCAAAATCCCAAACCTTAACACATCACAAATTAAAGCCAAATCCCAAACCCTAACACAAATTGCAAGCAAAATCCAACCCCAAACACTCCCAATCGACTAATTTTGCAATTTCAGGTTTACCCTAACTGAAACCCTAACTTTGCGATTTCAGGTTTACCTCAGATTCGCTGTGGTTCGTCCTCCACTGTGGTTCGTCCTCTTCTGTCGTTGTTCGTCCACCGTCAAGTCATCATTCGTCCACCGTCTCATCGTCCTTCGTCCCCTGTTTCGTCGTCCTTCGTACTCCTTCAAGAGACAAGTGAGACAGTCCACAGTGAAGAGATAGAGAGGAGAGAGAGGTGAGAGTGAATGAGAGGGATGAGACGAGAGAGCTACGGCGAGAGTGAATGAGAGGGATGAGGCGAGAGAGGTGAGAGGGATGAGGCGAGAGTGAGAGAGAGGTGGTATCAAGAGGTGGTATAGTTGAGAGTGAAAATGATGAGATCGAGAGGAGAGAGAAATTTGTCCTTTCGAGCCATTCGGGCCCCAAATATTCGAGCTACGGCTCATTTTCGAAGTACGAGAAATTACCCTAGTTAGTTACATCTCACCCACACCAAATTGTAGGTTGGCTACAAAAAGTTTTTGGTACCAAAAAAATGTTAGGACCATTAATAAACTAGAAACTAATCATATTACACCCATGATTGATAAGGCTTTGTTTGGAATGATTTATAAAAGAATGAAAAACTTATTTAAAAAAATTAAATATTAAGAATATTACGAAAATCAAAATATTAAAAATAATTTTTTTTTCAAAATAAATATTCAA